GGCGCTGGCGGCCGGGCGGCAGGAGGAGAAGCAGGTGCTGCTCCAGGCCGACTGGACGCTGTTGTGTCTGCGCTGCCGCGAGGCCTTCGCCACCAAGGGCGAGCTCAAGGCGCACCCGTGTCTGCGGCCCGAGGGTGACCCGGAGGCCGAGGGCGGCCCGCCCCCGCGGCCCAAGCGCCACCAGTGTTCCATCTGCCTCAAGGCCTTCGCCAGGCCCTGGTCGCTGTCGCGCCACCGGCTTGTCCACTCCACCGACCGGCCCTTCGTGTGCCCGGACTGCGGCCTGGCCTTCCGCCTCGCCTCCTACCTCCGCCAGCACCGCCGCGTGCACGGCGCGCTCAGCTTGTTGGCACCACTGCCCGGCAAGAAGGACGACAAAGGCTCAGGGGCGCGGACCTCGGGGAAGGGGCCCGAGGGGGGCACAGGGGCAGAGGCGGCCTCGGAGGGCGGCGAGGGCGGCCAGAACGGAGGGGACGCGGCGCCCGCTCGGCCCCCCGCGGGGGAGCCCCGCTTCTGGTGCCCCGAGTGCGGCAAGGGCTTCCGGCGCCGCGCGCACCTGCGCCAGCACGGGGTCACCCACTCGGGCGCACGGCCCTTCCAGTGCGTGCGCTGCCAGCGCGAATTCAAGCGCCTGGCCGACCTGGCCCGGCACGCGCAGGTGCACGCGGGGGGCCCCGCGCCGCACCCCTGTCCTCGCTGCCCTCGCCGCTTCTCACGCGCCTACAGCCTCCTGCGCCACCAGCGCTGCCACCGCGCCGAGCTGGAGCGCGCGGCCGCCCTGCAGGCCCTCCAGGCCCAGGCGCCGCCGCCCTCACCCGCCCCGCTTCCCCAGCAGCCGCCGGCTGAGCAGGACCCCGGCCTGCCACTGCCCTCTGCACCCATAAAGGAGGAGCCCCCCTCCCCAGGAGCCCCGCCCCAGTCCCCACGCGCACCCCCTGTCTTCCTCAGCGCCTCCTGCTTCGACAGCCAGGACCACTCAGCCTTCGAGATGGAGGAAGAGGAGTCCGACAGCAAGGCCCACCTTCGCGGCCTGGGGGGCCTGGCCTCCTGACCCTCACCCTGTCCTGCTTTGAGCCTCCTAGTTTTGCAATACAGAGGAGAGAAATTGAAGGCGAGGCCCCTCGTCCGTCTGACTCCCCTCCCCTCCCTGCCCTTGACACTAAGGATGGGGTCCCCTGGACATCTGGGCCCTCCCCAGCCCCACCCCCAGACCCTCCTGCTGGTTAGAAACCTTCCCCCTTCAACACGTGTCTCGCGGCAGGACGAGTTGGAGGAACGAGGCCGAGGACGGTTGTGAGCAGGGCTGAGGCCGGTGGGGACAACCCGCCTGCCCACCCCCCTTTGTATACACACTCACACACTGGACACTACCACCCTCGGGAACTGCCAGACCCTGGAGATCCCCAGTGAGCCAAGGTTCGTCCCGTCCCTTTGTCCGTCTGAATAAATGTGAGCTGGTGGAACCGGAGCCGAGTGAGGCCGTCTGTGGCGAGCACATGGCTGGGGGCGGTCCAGTGAGCTCTGAGTTTGAGGAGAAAGGGAGCAGGGATCCTCGTGAGGGAACTTGGTGTCTGCGCCCTAGCAGGACATTCCGGATCTGGGAACAGGAGTGTTGGAAGAGGGAAGATGGCCCGGGTGGTCTTCAGAGGGTCTCCGGGCAGCCCTGTGGACTCCTTGCATGCTCTCATTTAAAGCACTCCCCCTTCCCCCCTTAAAATCTAACAGAGCAATGAATCAAACCCTTACCGCATTGAGAGAAAGACTGACCAAGAACCAACCAACCATTTCCCAGTGCATAATTCATCACATCGAGTTAAAACGTTCTATTTGTGGTAGATACTCTGCTCTCGCTCACTGGTGGCCAGTTGGAACTAACTTCCAGCTGGCCCTCCATTGGGTTTCTGAGGCTGTAAGCGGCACCAGATAAGAGCCTCCAGTGAGTTCCAAACACCCAGAGAGCCACGGCCTTTGGGGTACCAGCCGGCTCCCCCCAGGGTACCGGGTGAGTTGTACTAAGATGCCAGTCCACCTACCATGTTTGCCATCATACTTGGGGCCCGTTCCAGACCCGGCCAGTTCCTCTCTGAGCTCTCCTCTTGGGCTTGCACCTGATGTCATCACCACCTTTCGTCAGAATCCCTTAGGGAACAGCTCAATGGTGTCCTGTGTCCCAGCTGGGAAGGCTGAGGAGACAGGGACATCACAACAGCAACGTGGCCTACACGTCACACAATGCTGGAGAAAGGGACAGAGATGACGTGCCACGAACACTGGATAGACCCTCGCTGTGCACCAGGCATGGTGCCAGGCCTCGTGGAGACGGAGCCCAGCGTGGTGCTGGCCCAGATGGCAGTCACTGCCCAGCCACAGCCAGACGGCACTGAACAACAACGACAGCGGCTGACCACTGTGACTGAGATGAAAAGAAATGCATTCAAAGCAAAATGATCAAAATGAAAGAAAACTGGAAATCCACTTGTTCGGTCTCACGACTTCAAGTGATAGATGTTGCGAAAGCTAGAACATGCCATCGTCGCAGACCATTCCATGGGGCAGCACCACCCTGGGTGATGAGCTGACCTGAGGTAGGACATTGGGCACCGATCGGGCTGCCAAGGAGGGTAAACTGCACGAGACCAGGGTGCCCTGACTGTGGAGCTGTCCGGAGTGGGGATGCAAAGACCCCTCGGGTGTCTGCAACGAGGCCCAGGGAGCAGCAGAAGGCCCTGAAGGGAAACAGGCCGGCGTGTTAGGGAAGCAGCAAAGACTGGTGGTCAAGTAGCTGTTCTTAAGTGCCCGTGAGTCGAGCCCGACCCACAGCGACCCTGTGAACCACTGACCCGAACCCCATCCTGTCCTGGGTCATCCTCAGGGTCCCCAACACTCTAGACCCCATTGCTGCAGTCACTGTGTCCGTCCACCTGGTTGAGGGTCTCCCTCTCTTTCACCGACCCTCCACCTTCCTGAGCGTGATGTCCCTCTCCAAGGAACAGCCTCTCAAAGAGACAAGCCCAATGGATGGACGGGAGACAAAACTTTGTGTTCTTCACCTCTGACGAGCACTCCGGCTGCCCTTTCTCCAAGACTTAGCTGTTTGTTTGTTGTCCATGGAATGTTCAGCACTCTTCTCTAACACCACAACTCAAAGGCATCAGTCTTTCTGTCCTTCTTATTCACTGCTCAGTTCTCAGGTGCGTAGCAAGTGATTGAAAAGACCACGGCCAAGGGGAGGTCTGGTGGCCTCGTGGCAAGAAGCTGCGCTGCAATCCCAAAGGCGCACAGTTCAAATCCACCGGATGCTCTGCTGGAGGAGGAGGAGACATCACCTCCTGTACTAGTTGGATCTGATTCAATGGTATATGACAAGGGGAATAAAATAAAATAATAAAAGAAAATAAAATACATGGCCTAAATCAGGCACACCTTAGTCTTTTAACTGACATCATTGCTCCTCAGTGGTTTGGAGAGGCCCCTGACTGCAGACTTTCCCAGTGCTATATGTCTCCTGACCTTCTGACTGCTGGTACCACTGGTGTTGATTGTGGTGAGGAGGGTCATTTTTCACAAGTCTGTGGTAGTTTATTTTACATTTGGATTTAGAATCTCAGAGTGGAGGGGGAAGGGGGTCTCCAGGCAAATCTTTAAATTCCCCTTTTAATTTCTACAATCAACATCCTGCCTCGGCTCTACAACCCTTGATGGCTCTCTCTTACCCTGTCTGAATAACATCGGCAATCACACCAGCTTTGAAGGAAGAAGTCCCAACTTCACTGAAGCTATTGGTGAGAGACGCCAGGTATTAACAGAACATGGGTCGAGAGGTTATAACCTGGACGCAATGCTGGAGATGCTCCATCGTCTATGTCAAGAAACACCAACCGTATTTGTGCCCATTCCAAAGAAAGATGATCTGAGAAATAAGGAACAATACATTTAATATCTTAGTTAGGTCGTTGTGATATACCATTGAGTCAGAATCCAAGCTGACCGCCCAGTGGGTTTTCAGAGGCAGTTAATTGTGGGGAGGAGGACTGCCCATCCCTACCCCCATGGATCAGCTGATGGATTCCAATCACGGGCAATGCATCTCCTTACCATAAGCCCACCAGAGCTCCTTATTAATATCACGGGCAACTAAAATTTTGCTGAAGATCATGAAAAAGCAATCAAAGCATTACAACAACAGCAAATGACTAGAAACTCAATCTAAGTTCAGAAGAAGATATAAAAGAGAGGCATAATGGCTCATGCCAGATGGAGCTTGGCTGAGAGCAGAGAATACAAGAAGAATGTGTACCTGGGAAAGACATTCAACTGTGTGGCTCTTAATAAACTATGGGGAACATTGAGAAGAAGCAGTTGTTTGAAGGGGGTAGTTGTGGTTTAAAATCAGGAAGGTCAGAAAACAAGAAATGCCAGCAAGGTTGTGGAGAGACTGGAACTCTTATTCATTCCAGGTGAGACTGTAAAATGGTACAACCCCTTTGGAAGGTGGTCTGCCACTTTCTCAAAAAGTTGGAAACATCCTGTGGCGTGCGCTTGAAGCTGAGCGGTCGCCATGGAGCTGGTGGCCGAGTACATCGGGCGGGATGGGCAGCGGCAGCAGCTGCGGGTGTCGTGTGAGGCACCGGAGGGTGCTGACCCATTTGCAGGGCTTGTTGTCGGGGGTGGCTCAGATGAGAGAGAGAGTGGCCGAGCTCCTCGGCCCTCTGGTTCCGCGGGACGCGCAGGACCCGGTGGCTGCGGGCGAGGACCTGGATGGTGATGAAAATGTGCCAGAATTAGTAGTGATGATGGTACAACCTTGTGAGTATACTAAAACCACTTTCAGAGGGTGATGACGGACATGAGGCAGAAGATGAACATAACATTGATAACAGAACTAACTCCAATGGACCACCTGCAAAACGACCAAAATCACTGTCTCAGCAATAGCTTTTATGAAACTTTAACGCAAAGACTGCTGCTGTCCAAATTACCATCCAGACACTTCAGGAATACCTGTGCTTTAACTTGGAAAAGCATTTGATTTTGCTCTCCATGACACAATTCTTTCAAAGAAAAGACTTTCTTCTCTTTACACCAAAAAGAAATACAGTGTTTAAAAAGGAATTTGTTTCTTGAATAAGAAATTTCAAATAATAGAAATAAAATAGAACCATTGAAAAAAAAGTTGGAAACAATGCATATCCGTGTTTATTGTGCTCTGTTTGCAATAGCAAAGAGCTGGAAACAACCCAAGTGCCCATCAACAAACAAATGGGTAGAGAAGCTGTGGTATATCCTCACAATGGAATACTATGCAGCATTGAAAAGCAAGGAACTCATGAAATATTATGCAAAATGAATGACCCTGGAGGACATTATGCTGAGTGAAATATCTCAGTCACAAAGGACAAATATTGCCTAGGGCCACTGCTGTAAAACGGTACTGACATCAGGGTAGCGGGAAGACAGAAAAGGAGGGGAGGAATGATGTACATTGCGTTGAAACAGGTGAGGATGAGAACTGTTTAAAAGGGACATATGATTGAATATTACTATCATTACAGAAGGCCAAAATGAAGGCTGCATAGTGGAGAGGACTTGGGGGGGGATTGCATAACAATGAAAGAGTTTTTCTTTTCAAGGAGAAGAGTCAATTGGAGAGGAGGGGGTGGGTGGGGAGAAAAGTGCAACAATGAATGACTGGAAACCCTAAGTCTCTGTAAGCGTTCATGAAAATTAATTTTAAAAATACAAATAGAAAAAAAAGGTTGGAAACAGAAATGCCATTTGACCTTGTAAACTCCAGTACAAGGAATTGTACCCTAAGGAAACCAGAGCCTCTCACCTCAAACAGACAGATGCACATCCATGTTTACTGCTGCATTATTCACGACAGCAAAGAGCTGGAAACAACCAAAGTGCCCATCAACAAACAAACGGATAGAAGAAACACTATGGTACATTCATACAATGGAATATTATGCAGCACTGAAGAACAATGAACTCATAACAATGAACAATAAAACATTACACAACATGGGGAAGCCTGGAGGACATTATACT